CTTTCTCTTGCAGCATCTGGATGGCCTGAACTATCCACCCTCTTTCTCTCCTTCCAACTGCAGTGATGGAAATGTATTGGTTGTCAAAGGAATGCAGGATTGACGGCTGAAGTGCTTCCGTACTATTCCTACTGCTGCTTCCGCCTACGACAAGCTTTGCATCTTCATTCTGCCCACTTCGTCGAATTGGCGAAGAGTAAACTGCCTTTGTAAAGGACTCATCTTCTGGGTTTTCCCAGCGAAGAATAACCTTCGCCTTCGTTGCCATTTCCAGCGGGTCTCGAACTACTTCACTAGGTCACATTATTCCATGAAATCGACACCTACAGGTTTTAGAAGGGTTCCGCGCTAGCATTATCTCCGTTTGCTTTGCACTTCTGACTGTTTTTCTGCATTCACCTCATCCTGGCATCTAGTAGCACGAATGGAGGCGCTGCACAACTGTCCAATACTGTTTTTCGAGAAGAGTTCGTGAAAACGACATGGGAGGCCGACGACAAAAAGAAGTCGGTACAACTTCCAGAAAAAGGTGGTAAGGTTGAAAGGAGAACTGTATTATAGGCTGAGCCACAGCTACCTCAAAAGGGACGAACAACACTGGACCAAAGCACTGCCTACTGAGAACCCCACATAAGTAGTGTCATCACTCACATTAAGAGTGCTCGGAGTGGGCAGCTTCCTCATCCGCACTCGTACTCGCGTGACACTGTTGAGGTGGTGCTGTGGTGCTACTATGGTAACCGTTTCTGGAACTGCTTCCTGGGCACACTCAGTATGAGCCCACTTGAAGAATGCGTCTGCCGAGAGTGAGGGGGCAAAAAGGCAGTGGAAAAAGGAACACCTGCTGGAATGAAACGAAATGGGCGGCCCATATTGCAAGCGTACTTAATATACTGCCCGCAGTTTTCCCCTCCCAGTACCCCATAGTGATTGCGGCGCTGTCGGACAGTGTGGTGGGCGCGGTGAGGGGAAAAGGCTTGGGCGAGGCGACAGAGGCAGAGAGCAGTTGTGAGCAACCGGGTGTAGCATTGAAGGTATTTAAACACCTCTGCAACTTGCATCATGACAAACACTAAACATTAACACGCTTATGGGTTTAAAGTCACTCCGTGCATAAAAATTTGTTTATTTCTCTACTTCTCCTACAATTTCTGACCCTCGGATGGAATATGTTTTTTAGCGCAAGGCATCAAATACTTGTGTGGTACAGGTAGGCTTACAAATCGGCAATCGGCAGCACTAGCTTCTCCACGAGATTGGTTTAGACCAGTGGTTTGAGATTGTTTTTCAAATTAGTAGACCCCGTAAGTCGTTACACACTGAGGGAATAGAGGAGGGGAGAAGGGGAGGGAAAAGTGGGGGAGAGAGATTTAGGCGTTACACATCACAGTGGATGCACACCTCCTACTTATAAGCAGTCATTAGAGGTGACACGTCAAGGCTCGTGAGTGAGTTCTGCGTCTCGCGCACTCTCACCACCCCATCCCACCCCCACTCTCCACTTGGGTGCTAATTGCATTTCTGCCACAACAACCACGCGAAAACGCGTTCCTCCATGCCACTTGGCGGCACACTCCCATACACTGCTG